GCCAATGCAAGCAACACAGGTTTGATAGCTGGTCCAGGAAGATTCCACATGCCTTGGAGTCACTAAGTCCATGAACCTCAACTACTGAGCCTGCACGCTGCAACTACTAAAGCCCGTGCACCCTAGAGCCCCACAAGAGAGGCCCAGGCACCACAAGGCAGAGTAGTCCCTACTCTCCACAACCAAAGAAAGCCCACGCCCAGCCATGAAGACTCAGTACAACCAAAAATAAAGTGCTCAGTGATCTGAACGTGCGGCCAGGGTTAAGAATCACTCTTCTGGACACAGAGCAGTGAGCTAGGTAGCTCTCAAGGGGAGACAGATGAGAAATAACTAAATCATTTTAAACAGCAGAGACATATGTCATACAAAAAACATGGGATAAGGTGACGAGGTCAGCGGGGGGTTGGAGGAAGGGGGCAAGCGGGAATTACACTGAAGCACAAATAACAAGACAGAAACACCACCAAGATCTGAAGAAATGACCCCAGGCTGAGAAAAGAGCCCACTTTCCACCTCAAGTCTTAAGGGATGACAAGAGCAGGGTCCCATTTGTGTCTTTAGAACACAAAGCTATCTCTGACAGGCGCACAGGTTGCACTCTGAGGGGAGAGAAAATAAGACATGTTTCCTTCCTGGAGGTTCTTATGAAAACATGAACTAATGTTTGCTGAACACCTACTGTGGGCAATGCTTCCAGTCTGGGATCTGACATAGCAGGTCATTCTTCAAGCTCCACATGAAGAAACATGTGGAGAGACTACATGGGGAGACCACATCCCTAAAAGAACCCATCTGGTAGATCATGAAGGGGGCAGTCTAGCTGGTGGGGAGAGATGCACAGTGGATGTCTCAGAGGATGCAAGAAACCTGTGATTCTTTATGGGCAGCTCCTGTAACTGTGTAGAAAAGAAGGCAGCCAGCAAATGCCACCTTGTCATCACTCCCCCCTGCACCCTGACACTAACTGGTAGGAAGCTCTGGTCCACCTTCATCACAGCAGCCCCAGAACAGGACTGTTACAAAGCCACCTCCTGAAAATGCCTAACCCCTGCCGGCTCCCAGGGGGAGTTCAGGTTGGAGGAGGAAGCTTCAGTCCCATCCCTCCAGAGGCAGAGCCTGTGAGCTAACTCTAAGCGGGTCCAGGCCCAACACTCCCCTGGCCAAGCAAGTGGCTTAAGGAAGCCATGTGACTCAAGTCACACCAACCCACCAGAACCTCGGGACTTCTGCAGAAACGCCTCAGCCAGCAGCACTCTGTCCAGCACTTTGGGGTCTGGGAGGACCTAAAGCCAGAGGTGTGGGTCACCGCACGCTGGATGATATCTGAGCTCAGAAGCAGAAAGTGAGCATCACAGTTCACATTTGATCTCAGCCAATAAATCCCCTTTTTTGCTAAACCCAGTTTGGGGAGGTTTTCTGTCACTGAGGCAGAGGCCTGCTTCACCTAGACCCCCAGACTCTGCAGAGGTGCCTTGGATTCAACTCACCATTCTCCGAGCCCCTGATGCGGTCCCGTGAGGCTGCTGCCTGGAGGATCTCTGCAGGCCTCCCGTGTCACTGAGGGCCCTGGGTTGGGACTCTGTCTTCTCTACTCGATTATGATCTGCTTGATCTTCTACCTCCACCAAGTGCCCACTTGTGAAATGGAAAAGGGGCTAGGTATTCTCATGGTCCTCAGATGAGGACGCTGGAAGGGAACTCAGGCTTCGACCCCCTCTGGGCTGGGCGGAGAGCAGGGGCAAGTGCAACGGGAAGGGCATGCAAGCAGAGCCAGGTGACCCCAGGATACTCATGCCAGCCAAGAGATCCTGGGAAGTCACTAAACCTTTGAGCCTGTGTTCCTCATCTTTGCAAAAACACTGAGGTGTTTAATGTTGGAAAGAGCACTTTCATTCCATCACTTGACCAATATTTACCGAATCCTTTCTAATGTGCAGGACACTATCCCAGAAACAGTTGATACAAAGTGAACTCTTTGGAACCCCATGGACTGTAGCCCCCAGGCTCCTCTGTCCATGGGATTCTCCAGGCAAGAACACTGGAGTTGGTTGCCATCTCCTTCTCCAGGGGGTCTTCCCAACCCAGGGATCGAACCCGTGTCTCTTATGTCTTCTGCATTGGCAGGCAGGTTCTTTACCACTTGCGCCACCTGGGAAGCCCAATCCAAGTGACTTGTTGCTAAACATTTTGCCAGTTTCCCTGCTTCCCTCTTTGAAGGGGGACAAAACCAAACATTCCTGCCAAATAGGGCTGACTGCTTCATAGTTAGTGGAATAATTTTTGATCAGACAGTACACTGAATAGATAGGAGTGACAGAAGGGCATAGGAGACTCTAACCTAAGAAGTGGGGTCCTGACTAAGCCAATGTGTCCAGACTACACATGACAGGAGCTACAGGAGGAATAGCCAGCCCAAGATGAGAGCTTGGTGAGCTAGAAATCAGTCCAAAACCCACTCACCCTCTTTACCCAGAGTGAAAAAGCGTTCCCCACATGGATGGTGCTGATTTTAGCATCTCAAGAGATTGGAATGAGAGGATGGGCCCCCGCCACAGTTTCTGGCTGTACACATGTTCACGGGTTAGTCCCACACATGCTTCCACTGCTGGAAGAATGTGCTGAGGGAGGTGAAATGACAGGACAGCACCACTGCCCACTGGGTCACCAGGACAGATGGGAGTTCAAAGGGAATCCCAGCTGCTTCTCTGCAAGTTCACCCGGTCCTACCCCCATCAAGCAGAAGGTGAACAATTTAGAGATTTAGCTAAACCTCTGTGTCCCAAATGGATTCCTCAGACAGCATTTTGAGGGATGGGAAGTTGATGGTGTCAAAAATAGGCTTTGAGGGAAGGGCCTGACCTTCATAAGTGCATGGAACTAACCAAACATTTCAGACCCACAGGACTAGGTTCCAGGACCAGCTTCCCCACTTAAAAGTTTCATGACTTTGAGTGACTCCTGTTTCCTCCCTAGGTATTTACCCACCTGTAAAATGTTGATAAGACTTGCCTATGAAAATAAGGGCTTCCCAGGTAGCATCAGTGGTAAAGAATCTGCCTGCCAATGCAGGAGACACAAGAGATGTGGGTTCAGTCCCTGGGTCGGGAAGATCCCCTGGAGAAGGAAAAGGCTACCCACTCCAGGCAAGAATACTGGAGAATCCCATGGACAGAGGAGTCTGGTGGGCTACAGTCCATGGGGTCGCAAAGTATTGGATGCAACTGAGCACGGCACTGCTTTGCTGGCATTCCCATGAGAATAAGTCACGGGAAGATGGCCTCCTAGCCTGCTCCTTTGGCCTGGGTTTCTAGTTCCTTTTTCACACCGCTGCATGCAGAACCCCACCCGGTTCTTCGAACAACCCTAGAGTAGGAGGCCAAGTTCTATTCTTCCCATTTTACAGGTAAGAAAACAGACACCTAAAAAGACTGACTTGCTTGGCAACTTGGTGGAAAAGCTGAGTGGTATCCATCTAAAATAAAACCTCCATAGGGTGTGGAGAAAAAGGAACCCTCCTACACCCTCAGTGGGAATGTAAATTGGTGAAACCACCATGGAGAACAGTATGGAGGTTCCTTAAAAATCTAAACATAGAGTTACCACGTGATCCTGCACTCCCACTGCTGGGCATATATCCAGAGAAAACTAGAATTTGAAAAGATATGCACCCCATGTTCCCCAATGTTCATAGCAGTGCTATTTACAACAACCCATACACAGAAGCAACCTAAATGTTATCAACAGATAAATGGATAAAGAAGATATACACACAAGGGAATATTGCTTGGCTATAAAAAAAAAAAGAAAGAAAGAAAGAAAGAATGCCATTTGCAGCAATGTAGATGGACCTAGGGATTATCATATCAAGCAAGAAAGACAAATATCATATCACTTATATGTGGAAGCTTAAAAAATGATGCAAATGAACTTATTTATAAAACAGAAATAGACTCACAGACTTAGAAAACAAGTTACAGTTACCAAAGAGGATAGTGGGGAGGTGGGGGTAATTAGATGCTTGGGACTAACATATACACACTACTATACATAAAACAGGTAAACAGCAAGGATGTGCTGTATAGTATGGGGGATTATACTCAACATTCTGTAATACCCTAAATGGAAAAGAATCAGAAAGAGAATAGGCATATACATATAACTGAATCACCTTGCTGTACATTTGAAACTAACACAACATTAGAAATGAACTATACTTCAACTTTTTTAAATAAGAAGACAAAACTTCATGGTTCCCAAAGAGCTTTCAAATGCATCATCCCACTGAGTCCTTCTCACAAGGAGCCCCAAGTTTGGAAGCCAAAGCTAAAACCTAGGACTGGCCTGTCTGAGCTTCCATTCGCTGGCAAGTACAATGCCTAGGAAGAAATCTCCACCCATTTATCTGGCAAGGAGAACAGACAAGAATGGGTCCCTACAGCCTCTGACACCCTGGAAAAGTCAGAAGAGGAACATCAAACCACCTCCCAGGGCGAGCAGAACCATCTCTCAGGTTGCCATAATACCTGGAATTCCGGTCCCAAAGAAGGGGCCCCAGCACCCCAGCGTGTCCGACCCCTGCAGCGACCCTGGGTGGTATAACCTGGTGGGCATCCCAAAGTGTCCTCTCCCAGAGCAGCTGGGTGTGCTGCCCCTGGAGTTCCATCAGATGGACACAGCGACCAAAGGGAAAGAAAACGAAGATTTCCAGACAAACAAAATGGGGGGGGGCGGGGGCAGAACACTGACCCTTTAGGAGCATTGTGAGAACAAAAATTGAAAATTGAAAACTCTCAAATGTGACCTTTTCGGTTGTTGGATAAAGAATGTGAGTTGCTTAGCAGCACAGCTGATTAATGCCTATATGTTACCTTTCAACTCCTTATTGCTACCCTTTCCCATTCAGGGTCACAAAACCATCTTTTCTTAGCTCTGGTTATGACTGTCTACATCCATACCATCTTGAGGCCAAGTCAAATGCCTTGGGAAGAATCTCTTACCAGGATCTGTGCAATTCTTAGCTGCCTCAGTCCCATTCACTGGTGCCATCAGCCTTCTATTTCTCCAGGTATCTGGGAGAACATATTTGCTCACAGAAGCTGTTCTGTGCCCTGGATTGGAAAATAAGTCACAAACACCATGAGATCGACATGGCACCTACATCCTCACAATGGCCTTACAGCGTACATCTAGCTCTGTCAGCAACAGCCCTGTTTGACTATTTAAAGCCATCTGCAGGGAGTGATACAGTGACTGGAAGCACAGTATCACCTGCTCACCTTCAGTAATCTGTTTCCTAGATCTAGTTTATTGTTTCTAGTCCCAGATAGGTCAGCATGTGCTCTGACCTTGGCCAAGATTGCTTCGGTCTCAGCCCCTCACAAGTGCAAGACAAGGTTTAGACAGGTGACCATTAAGTTCTTAGCCAGTAAACATGCTCAGGTATCCCTGCCCTGAAGGATAAAGTCACAAACAGGTGGAGAAAGGTGATGGGGTCTGGCCCGGGACTTTGCACCCTTGAATGTGCATACAAATCACCTGGGAACCTTATTACAATGCACATTCTGATTCAGTAGGTCTGGGCCAGGACCTGGAATTCTGCACTAACAAGCTCCCAGGTGACACTTATTTTGATGGTCCAAAGGCCATACTGAGTAACAAGGAAGATCACTGGTGTGGACGCTGGTGACCAAGTGCAGCTGAACTCCTAAAGGCCTTCCTGATCCAGCAAATAAAAAATAATTCTCACTTTAAGAGCTTTAAAGTATTCATTTACCTCTCCTGCGGTGCACACTGCTTCAGCTGGGTAATAATACCTCTTCTATAATGCTGACATCTAAGAGCCTCTAGGTATTTTGTTATTTCTAGTGTGTAATTGAGGGAGAAAACACACCAACTTGCCCAATTGCAAAGCACCAGGTACTATGGTGTTAAAATAACCTTTCTGGATTTCTTTTGGAAAGGGCCAGTTTTGTTTAATCTTTCATCCTCAAATCACAAAGTTTGAGTTTTGAAAGGCTGTATAAAGTTTAATGAAGTTCCTGATTTCTATCAATCAACATGAGCCTCTCTAAATTGTCCCTAACTACTCAAGAAGGTAGCATCTGCTTTATTCCTCATATCCTGATTGTTAAATCACAGCATTTCTTTCGTTCTCTTAAATGTTTGAAAATACACACATATATACATACGCACATATATGTATAACCGATTCACTTTGCTATACACCTGAAACTAACACATTATCATCAATCAAGGATACTTCAATTTAAAAGTTGAAATAAAGTTGCCAGAGAACATTAAAAATTAAAATAGAATATTAAAAACAATACTAAAGGGTCCCCAGCATCCATAAAAATGGGAACGTTAGCCACCCTGACTGTCTTCTGAATGTTCCACCGGGGCTCACATCCCCTACTCCATCCCTAACATTTTTTGTAAGTTTCTTTATCTCTCCATCTTAAATATGGATATCCTAAGCAACTCCCAAATTTCCTTGTCTCTTCTCGGATGGAAGGCGTGTGGATAGTTGTTCCAGGCACCAACACTAATTCCGCGGGGATTAGGAGGAGTTGAAAAGTGATTTTGAAGCACAGCAGCAACCGCCCCAGGGGACAGACTGCCCCACCATTTTTAGGGTTTAGAGAGGACGCGTCAGGACACCCCGGGCGCCCCTTCGGCAGGGGCGGGGGCGAGAGCTGAGACTCAGTTCCCGGCCTCAAAACCTGGGTTTTTGAGGGACGCGGAGAACAATCTTCCCTGCTCTGCAAAACTGGAAGGCAGTCCATTCAGTCTCGTCCGCCCCAGGCCAAGAGAATCCACACATGGACCTCTCCGCTGCGCTGCCCACACTCCCTGGGCACCCCCAGGGACAGAACTCTGGCGCCGAGGGGCCAGTGGTTCAGGCTTTCGCCTTAGTAACACAGACCTGCAGCCGCGTTTTGAGCCCCCAGGGGCCGCGCGCAGCTCAGGGGAACAGGCACCAGCGCTCAGAGCGTAGCCATCAGCCCTCCTGGGTGCGCTCTACCTGTCCGATGGGGAGGGGACTGGATGAAGCCTTGGAGCTAACCTGGCTGGGAAGAGAGGGAAGACCTCCCAGAACTGCCCCGCGGTTTTCCAGCCCAAACCCCCCAACTCCCCGGGCAGGCCCGCACCATTACCTACCCCAGCTGCCAAAGAGGCCAGACGCACAGCACACCAGGGCCAAAATCGCGCACATGAAGCCAACTTGCTGCGGCAGCATCTCTCGCCTCCTACGAACTTTGCGCGGCCCGGGGGGCCCGCGGAGCGCCATCCCGCAGCGCCTGGATGCCGCCTCTGACAAGAGGATGGGGAGCCCCAGCGGGCGGAGTGCTATTTGGGGCCGAGCGGCGTGGAATGGAGCGGGCGACGCGAGGCTCAGAGGCCAGGGGCTCCAGGCCAAAGGTTCATGGCCCGCTGGCGAGCTCGGCAGGGAAACCGGGAGAGGAGGTGGGGGGCGCTCGGCGCGGCCGGAGCTCAGAGTCCCACGCGCGGTGTGCGCGCTCCGCGCACCATGGCTCGGTGGCAAGGAGGCGACGCCGGCACGGTGGCGCTGGCGGCCCTGGATCGCAGGGCTGGCGCAGTCCCGGCGCTGATGCCGCTACCTGCCCGCTCAGCCTCGGCGCCCTCGCCCGGCCGCAGCCCTGGGAGCAGTGCCCGGGGGCCCCCGCGGGAGCACTCAGTGCGCCCCCGCGCGCCGCGCCGCCGCTCCCACTCGTAGCATCCTCCCCCTCCAAGTTTGGCGTCGGTCGCCGGCCAGCGATGCTCCCCTGTTTCCCGGCGAGCCGAGCCGGGCCGGCCCAGTGCGGTCAAGTGGGGAAGCAGACTGGACGCGCGGGACCTGAGACCCTAGCCGCGAGCCGCCTAGACGTCGGTCCTCCGGGAGCGAGCTCTCCCCGGGAACTTTGTCTCCGGCTGCCGGCGCCTGCGTCTGCGAGGCCGTGGCGCCTCCCGCCCGCCGCTCTCGCCTCCCTTCTCCTCCCCTCCCGCCCCTCCTCCCCAGCACGTGTACTCCTCCCCTAGGGCGCACTCGCCGGTGCGCTCCTCCCTTCCCCGGCGAGGCTCAACTACTGACCCGCACAACCGCCCTCCTTCTCTTTTTCTCTCCCCCCGCCCCTACAGAGCCGAAACTAGCCCTTCTCTAACCCTGCGGGGCTGCTGCGGAGAGGAACAGGTTATGGCACCGCAGGGACTCAGAAACGAGGGTTTCTGTAGAGCGGTCGCTCTAGTTCGGGCTCTGCACGACCCCCGAGGCGACCCGAGGCCCCCACACCCCCGCGGGGCGGGAGGTGCAGGAGAAGATTAATTGCTCGAGCTGAGCTAACAAACACGCTTGCACCAAGCCAACAGGCGCCCGCGCCCGCGGGGACCGGCTCCTGCAGGGCTCTCGGGGCGGGCGGGGGAGCCGGCGGCGGGGGCGCAACGCTGACCTGCAAAACGCAGGAGACCCAATGGAGAGAAACCCGAGCGTTCTGCCGCCCCGCCGCGGAGAGTTGCGCTTTTGATGTTCTGGAGCCGTACCGCTTCACGGGGCTTTCTGGGTTTGGTTTTGTTTTTCCTCCTTCTCTCTGGTCGGCCCTGTAGTGTAAACCGCTTTTAAAATGGGGCAGGAGGCAGAATTTCAGAAGAGCTGCCGCTGAGTTGTAATCCAGGTGCAAGCAGGTGGTGGGGACCTTGAGCGTGAGGGCCTCAACCCCTGGGAATGACTTCTTTCCCTGGCCATCGAGCACCTAGTTAGAGCGTGCTAGGGGTTAAGTCCATTTAAAATCCTTTCTGGAACAAGGCCAGGTCTGTTTAATTAAATAAATACACACCCACCGAGCGCAGGATCAGTGCCAAGTGCCAGTCAGAGAACAAAACCACCAAAATATGTGTACGATCCAGTTCCTGCTTTCAAGGAACCCCAAATCAAAGAGGAGCCAGACCCTTGGATAAATGCCGGTTTAACAGAGTCAGTTACAAAAGTCACTATTTTTGCAGAACGTGTGTTATTTTATTTATCATTGCTCAAAATGTGGTCCACAGCAGCATAAGCATTGCCTGGGAGCTTGCAAGAAATTCAGGCTCTAGGGTTCCCGCCCAGACCTATTGAAAATTTTGAATTTTTAACCAGACCCCCTAAGAGGTTTGTGTGCACATTCAAGTGTCAGGAGCGTGACCCTTTCAAATCTGTCCCACTGATTCTAGGGACACCATCTGGGCAGTTCCTCTCCGGCTAAGCCTTGCTTGTGTTGGCCTGGCATAGTGACACAAGTGAGAGGTAGCTGGAGGGCCAGGGGAGGGGGAAGTTTCACTAATTATTTTCCGATGTCCCTTTTCAGTGCCCACGGGTGCTGGAGGCATGAACACAAGACTAATTGCAGTGGAAACCCCTAGAGTAAATGAGATGGAAACAGCTGGGTAGGCCTTGTTTAGAACAGCTCAGAGTTCTGTTTTGTCTGTAGAGCAGCCTTACCGTTGAGGACCTCCCTCTATATGGGTGACCTCTACCAAGCATCCCTGCCAGTGACCAAAAAAACCACTTTTCACATGTTTGAAGAATTTTCTTAATGAGCAGGCTGTACAAAATTGCTGTTTAGCAATAGCAAATAAAAAGCCATAAAACAGTGTTAAATGTGGCATTTGGAAATTTATCAGAGAGCCGATGGCATCCTATTTTCGCCAAAGGAAAAAGAGTTAAAGCGATAATATGCTTTCATCCCATCCACAAGAGAGCATTCAGGTCACATTGGTTAAGGCAACTCTAATGAACAAAATGGCATATTATACATGCACCTCAGTGTTTATTGCAGCACATTTATAATACAATAGCCAAGACATGGAAGCCACCTAAATGCCCATTGACAAATGAATGTGTAAAGAAGATGTGGTATATTTGCACAATGGAATATTACTTAGCCATTAAAAAGAATGAAATAATGTCATTTGCAGCAACATGGATGGGCCTACAGATTATTAAGTGAAATAAGCAAAAGACAAATAGTATATATCACTTATTGTAGAATCTAAAAAATAATACAAGTGAGCTTATTCACTTGTATTAGAAAATAGAATTAGACCTGAAGACATAGAAAATAAAATTATGGTTACCAAAGGAGAAAGTGTCGGGGGGGGAATGGGGAGGACAAATTAGGAGTTTGGGATAAACATATAACACTACTGTATGTAAGAGAGATAACCAATAAGGACCTACTGCATAGCAAGGGAAGATATACTCAATATATTGTAATAACCCATAAGGGAAAAGAATCTGAAAACACACACACACACACACATACACACATATATACGTATAATTGAATCATTTTGCTGTATAGCTTAAACTAATACAACATTGTAAATCAACTATATTTCAATTAAAAAAAAACTTACTGAAGCTTTAAAAACAGAATCTTATTACTAGGATTCCCAGGTGGTTCAGTGGTAAAGAGACGTGGGTTCAATCCCTGGGTTGGGAAGATTCCCTAAAGCAGAAAATGGCAACTCACTTCAGTATTCTTGCCTGGAAAATCCCATGGACAGAGGAGGCTGGCAGGCTATAGTCCACAGTGTCGCAAAGGGTTGGATGTGACTTAGACACCGAGCATGCAATATTTTCTTAAAACTGTTGTCCATGGAGTTCATGTAGGGCTGGCGAAAATAGACATTTCTGAATAGAAAACAGGCCAAAGGAGTCATCAGTGTCCATCTTTAAACATTTAACTTGTTCTTTAATAGAACGTTTCTTTGACATCTTTCACCTGCTCTCAGTAAATAGAACCCTTGAAATAATTTCACATACACAAATGGATTCCTTCTATTTGACAGTTTAAAAAGCAATTCGTTTGAAACTGTACTTTTTGCTTCATTTAAATAGTGCCCATTACCAAATAGCCTTTGCTGCGGTTCTAATGACTCACCCTGCAGAAGAGAGACTTGGGTCTTATGTTCTTTTGAATTCAAAGCATCCAGGCGCATTCTCTAAGCAGGGCCATGGAGACAAATGGAAAATGCATTTCTGGGTTTGTCTTCGTTAGCCTAGTTCTGGCTTCAATGACGTTGTATTCCAAGTATTCCCTCTGCAAGAGTGTTTTCTGTCATGTGACACAGTAGGAGACCGTCCAAGTGACTAGTTTTCACCATTCTATTAGGAAGGCTCAGTTAGTGGAGATTAGTAAAATATATTTTTTCTTAAAAATTCATTCCTATGATAAGAAGAGCCTCACCATTTAATTCTTCTTAGTTTTTGCAAGTTTACCAGAATGACTTTCTCTATGAATTGTAACTCCTCCTGCTGTGTCTTCCAGATGGCAGTATCAGTTGGCAACACCTAGGACAGCAGTTTTCATGCTTCAGAATCCAACTGCTGAGCCCCACCCCAGGGTTTCAGCTTCAGTAAGTCATGTATGGATGTTAGAGTTGGACTATAAAGAAAGCTGAGTGCCGAAGAATTGATGCTTTCGAACTGTCGTGTTGGGGAAGACTCTTGAGAGTCCCTTGGACTGCAAGGAGATCCAACCAGTCCATCATAAATGAAATCAGTCCTGAATATTCATTGGAAGGATGATGCTGAAGCTGAAGCTCCAATACTTTGGCCACCTGATGTGAAGAACTGACTCACTGGAAAAGACCCTGATGCTGGGAAAGATTGAAGGCAGGAGGAGAAGGGGACGACAGAAAATGAGATGGTTGAATGGCATTACTAACTTGATGGACATGAGTTTGAGCAAGCTTCAGGAGTTGATGATGGACAGGGAAGCCTGATATGCTGCAGTCCATGGGGTCACAAAGAGTTGGACATGACTGAGCCACTGAACTGAAGTCTGGGGTGGGGCTTGAGAATTTGTATTTCTAACAAGTTCCCAGGTAAAGCTGATGCTGCTAGTCCAGAAACCATATTTTGAGAACCACTGGGCTAGGTTATACCCTGATAACCATAACAAATGGTAAAACAACAAAAGTTTGCTTCAGGGTAGCAGAATATTTGATCCCAAAGCATGCCACTTTGGCATAAGGATTATTTTGAGTTGAAGGTAAATAAGAAGAAGCAAATACAAGAAAAGCTTCCTCTACTTGCCTTTCCCCTATTTGCCTAAATGTAGGAAGTATATTTGTAGAGATGCCCGCCCCCCCTCCTTTCTACCAGGAAGGACAGAAGTTAATCACTGGAACAACTCTAGATTCTTTTCAACCCAGGGACAGCACCAGAGGAATCTAGCTACTAACTTCGCTAAAACTCACCTTTATCCACCATTGATCTCCCCTTATATTTTTGTTGTTGTTGTTGTTGTTGTTGTTGTTCAGTCACTAAGTCGTGTCCAGCTCTTTGTGAGCCCATGGACTATAATCCTCCAGGCTCCTCTGTCCATGGGATTTCCCAGGCAAGAATACTGGAGTGGGTTACCATTTCCTACTCCAGGAGATTGACCCAACCCAGGGATCAAATCTGCATCTCCTGCATTGGCAGGCAGATTCTTTACCACTAAGCCACCAGGGAAGCCCTTACATTTGCCTTCACACAATTTGCCACCCCTAGAAACACAAAGTCTTTTTCCTTTGTCTTCTCACTTCTCTGAAAATGTACCTTTTATAACTTTTTATTTTATATTGGAGTACAGCTGATTAACAATGTTGTGAGAGTTTCAAGTGGACAGCAAAGGGTCTCAGCCATACATATACATGTATCCATTCTCCAAACTCCCCTCCCCTCCAGGCTGCCACATAACACTGGGCAGAGTTCCCTGTGCTATACAGTAGGACCGTGTTAGTTATCCATTTAAAACATAGCAGTGTGTACATCCCTGACTATCCCTTCCCCCTATTTTTCCCCCTGGCAATAGAAATCTGTTTCTGTTTCATAAATATGCTCATTTGTATCATTTCCTTTTAGATTCCACATTTAAAGGATGTCATATTTTTCCTTCTCTGTCTGACTGACTTCACTCAGCATGACATTCTCTAGGGCCACCATGTTGCTGCAGAGAGCATTTTTTCATTCTTTTTAATGGCTGAGTAATATTCTATTGTGTATATGAAATTACTTTTATTTATATTCCATTGTATGTATGAAATGTACATTAAAATGTTATGTAAGCCCAACTTCTTACCACCCCTTTGAATTACTCATTACTGGGTAATCCCATGTGTATGCATGATGCACATATTAATAAACTTGTTTGTTTTCCTCTTGTTAGTCTGTCTTTTGTTGGTCTAATTTACAAGGGCCCAGGCAATGAACCTAAGACAGGTGGATGGAAGAGTTTTTACTCCCCTGCCTATAAAAGAGTTGTGTGTCTTGAGGGCAGTTACTTGGGTACTTGGGAGCAGCCACAGTCTCAAAGACTGCTGCTTGTCATGCCCAAGGGTAGAAAGCCCTCTAGAGGAACTTCGGGGGGCAGTCGAGGACGCTGGGCCCTGCACACCACTACTTACCACTCATTGGCTGAAGCTAGTCACATGGCCCCAGCATCCTGGGAGGGGCCGGAAGTGCCCTTCCTCCCCTGCTGGCTGAGCTCTGCATTCTGCAGTGGGCAACCCCCATGAGAGCCGTACAAATGCAAACCTCAATCCGCTTCCTTGCTTTCTGGAATCTTTCTTGCCTGCCCCTTCCCCCTCCCTGATAGAGTTGGTCCAGCTTGTTCCAAAGCCCTTGGCGTGCATCTCCAGTATAGCACTTCCATCACGTGGTTTCGTGAAATGGATGAGAATCATCTGTCTCCTCCTGGCCAGTGAGGACTTCAAGGACCTGAAG